AAAATAAAACAGTCTTCTTCTATCCTAATTCCCATTTTGGCCATTAAGAGGAGATGCTAGGGATAATACCTGTATAATGCTTCATGTAGAAATTAAGTAGTTTGCAGCATTCTGTGATATTACAAACTTGGAACGCTTTTTCTGAAAAGCAGCTTCCAGAGATAGGCCAGGATTTGAAGCACAGCAAATTCTGGACACTCCTAAAAAAAAGAAAACCAGGCCAATGCAGTTGTTGGGGGATCCAACCATAACTGTCAACAGCCTCATATAAGCTTTGCAGACTGACCCATCATGCAAGTTCCTGATGCTAAGCAAGTAAATGTATTTCAGAAAGTCAAAAAGTGTGAAAGAAACAAAGGACCAGACTATTTGCTCAAACAATTAGAGAAGCAGAGTCCCTTCTCACCTCCTTTGTAGTCCAGGGAGCAATTCCTGAGCTGCATTCTGAGACAGAGGCAGTTTTGCCAGGTCTAACATTCCGACAATTACTCAGTGAAAATGGAAACAGCAATACAGATGCCAGTGGTATGATGCAAATTGCACTGTCCCTGTCAGAATGGGATTCATTACGGTTTCTGGGCTGTCTTCTTGGAATTTGAAGTCAGTTGTAGTTCCATGTAAATTAGATGTTGAAGCCAGGAATTTTTTTTTATTTTTTTTTTTAAGGGAAGTCCTCCTCATTCCCTGGCCTACGCTTCTCTGAAGGGCTATTTTGGACCTTGAACAGGGAATCTGAGTTTAGTATGCAGAGAATGAAGTGAGAAACAGGAAACAGATAAAACAGGGGTAATGGATTTAAACTGAAAAGGGTAGATTCAGATTAGGTATTAGGTTTCTTCCCTGTGAGGGGGGTGAGGCCCTGGCACAGGCTGCCCAGAGCAGCTGTGGCTGCCCCCTCCCTGGAAGGGTTCAAGGCCAGGTTAGACAGGGCTTTGGGCAACCTGGGCTGGTGGAAGGTGGCCCTGCCCGGGGCAGGGGGTGGGACTAGATGGGCTTGAAGGTCCCTTCTCACCCAAATCATTCCTTGAGTCCATGAAGCCTGGACTCCTCTGCAGAGCTAAGAAGCATGCATATGAAAGTTCTGCTGTTCATAAAGCATAAAACTGGAATAACTGTAGGTGCATGCTTGTAAAAAACTTAGCAAACAGTTGAACACCAGAAAGAAGTAACAATATTGTGCCCTCCTAATCTTTTAAAGGTCAATGGGTTAGCAGAGAACAACTTGGAAGACAGTGAAAAACAGAGTAAGACTAGGTCAGACCTGGAATGAGAATAGTAAAATTCAGGTCTCTAGGGATACATTTTAAATGTTTTAATTCTGAAGACAGTTTAGGGATGATCTTTATGGGATTAAAAACTCAGGCTTTCTTCTAGTAATTGAAATTAAACAGCATTTGCTTGAGCAAAGATAGCTTCTTATCCACCTGTCATTACAAATAAAAGTAATACCGTATGTTTAGCAGCATCTGAGTATCTAGCGCTGCAGTCGGGTAACGCTTCTTCCAAAAGTTTCCCAGTATTCTCTGCAATAATAATATAACCAAAACCAAATGGTCTTTGCCCCGGGATCTGCATAATTGTAAATCTAACTGCAAAGAAATTTCCAGGTTAGAAAGCTATTACAGATATCCATATGCTTGTTTCATCTAAGATATACTGTGTAAGAATCTATGGGGGAAAGTACGCTTGGATCACAGAAAGCTCTTTAATGTACGAAGCAAAACAATCCATGAGTTTTGAAGCTGGACATGCTCAAGATGGAAATAAAATGTCAGTCTGCACAGCATATATGACTAATCAGCACAGCTCATGAAATTATGTTATGAATTGTCTACCAGCTGAATGTGTAATTGATAATCCCATTGAAAAAAAAAACTATTGAGCCCCTTCTTTCCTTAATCATATTGATTGCTCCATAATAGCCTATGAAATTACAATATTATCACCTTTGTAGTTTTATTCAAAAATCTCTTAAAACCTGGAAATGACAAACATCATTCGAACAGATGCCAGGCTTGCACCGGCCCCGATCACCGGAGGCGGAGCAGGGGCCGGTACCTGCGGAGCCACATCCACCGGCTCCGGGGCGGGAGCCAGGCCTCCTGGGCGCGG